CAGGGCCTGCCGGGGCCAGCGCACTTCCCGTTCAACAAGCGCATAGACATCAGCAAGCCGCTGCAGGGCCAACAGCGGCAGCCACTGGCAATCCTCCTTAGACAGCCCATCTACACAAGGCGCTTTTTCAGGCAGGGCCGAGATGACCCCGCGGAGCCTATCGGCTCCCAGCGGGGGCCGCGGGTTCTCCTTGGCCTTCGCCTGGGCCTTGCGCCCAGGGGCCCGAACCATGGGGCAACTAGAGCTGTATCCTGCCCACTTGCCTGCCCAGATCTTGGCCTTGGCAGCCATTCTCTGGCAGGAGTCCGAAGCCGTCTCCCCGCCAGTCCGAACCACCCCGGCAAACGCCCAGTTGTCTCTGATGCGGCGATGTAGGCCACGGCCTCCAGCCTGGCCCTGCTGCATGGCCCACTGGTGGAAACAGGTGGGCCTGCCCCGAGTTCTGTCTCGCTCCAGCTTCAAAGTCTCTGCCAGTTTGGTCGGGGGGCCCTCTGAGAACACGCAGGCCTCGGGCCCAATCCGAGCGAATTTTCTGCGAGTGCCAAGAGTGAGGAGACTGGCGCAGTCCAGGCCACGCCCCTCATTCTATCAAACAGCCTGCCCCAAGGTCGACCAGGTCCGAAAGTAAGAAGCTCAGGTTGCCCACCAGTGGGCCACAGGATCCATAGAAGAAATAGAATGGGCACCCTGGGCCTCCAGTCGGTTTTGTAATCCGCGCAGTTCAGCACGGCCTTTAGACATTTTCTGGTCTTTGGGATGTACTTCAAGCGTCGCGCAAAAAGAAACCTTCAAAGCGTGAGACCCATCTGGCAAAAGCGGAACCTACCTTCATCGCCCCAGCCTCGTCCAGGCCGAAAGCGAAAGCGTCCTTCGCGTAGCTCGGAACTTGACATCCCTGACTGGGTCCTACAACGACTTCCACATATGGTCCTTCTGCTCCTTCGCGACCGTGAGAAGCTGATGTCATGGCGCACTCTGCTGCTGGGGCACTGTCCGATTCTGGTGCTCTGCCTCTACCTCCACCATGGGGCGGTCGCGCGGCTGCCCCTGAGACGGGGGCGGGGCTTTGGGTTGCTCCCAGAGCTGCCCCCCGCCCCGCCCAAGCCGGCACGCCGCCCCTCCAGTCGACTGAAGCCCCGTCCACGCTGCCCCGCCAGCAGCGGCGCGCTCTCCTCCCCTCGCGCCAGCAGCGGCCCAGCGGTCCGCGGCACTCGGGGGGCCCGCGGGCACTCCAGAAGACGAAGCCACAACTGCGCCTTCGTCGGCCGCACCCGCATCGGCAAGACTTGGCGACTGAACCCTGCCCCTCGCGCTGTCAACCTCCTGGGTGCACCTGGGGGCAGGGTCTTCCGTTCTAACCAGTGGCGATAATGTCCTACCCCTCTCGCTGTTTACCTCTTGGGTGCACCTGGGGATAGAGACATGCGATCTCACGCCCCCGACAAATGCAAATACCGCATCGTCTGGCTCATTGAAGGATTCGTAATATACCTCCTCTGCCTCCTCTATGCCCCAGTCGTCGTTGGTGAGGTAGCAGATCGGAGGTGGCAACTTCAAACCATTCGCCTGGCGCTTCTTCAACCTCGCCGACGTCACTGGTGGCACAACCTGTTCAGCCTGCTGCTTCTGTTGCAATATCAGCTTCCGAGCACGCTTGCTCTCGGGAGCCTTCTGCTTCATGGGCATGGGAGGATGGGCGAATCTCTCCGCCAACGGTCGCGCCCATCTGGATGCCTGTTCCAATCAAGCTTCAACTTCAGATGTAGACCAAAATGCGCTCTGCCTCCCTCATGGCAGGCAGTGTCGCCCAAAGTGAGGGATTTGATAAATCTGGTCATGGATGGCGAAACAACCATATCATCAATATATATATATATATATATATATATATATATATATTATGACCCAACGTACACGCTCAAACAATCCGCGGCCATCTGCCAACTTGGGCCAGCCAGCCTTCTTCAACTCATGCGGCTCCGCGCTAAAATCTCCGATCGCCAACCATGGTGTGCGGATGCTCTGGGTCAACTGGCCCATCTGGATTAACGCGTCAATGTTAGTGCCCGCCAAGCCTGTGCCCGCAGTGAGGCACACACCCATGATGGTGATCGACTGGCCTCCGATCTTATGTTGGAACGCGACTAGGTCCTCGAAGTCAAGGCCTCTCTGGTTAGTGTCCTCTGGCTCGTCGATCACTCTAAGCCCAAACTGCTGCGCGGGCATGTTCGCAAAGTGCCTGAACGACTTGAATTGGTAACGCTTCAAAACTCATGCTGCGATGCCTCCTGCTCCCTCCGCACCACTCGTCTGGTGCGACAGCGCAGCCGCTGCCTGGTATCCGGATCTATCCCACTCGTGCAGGACTTCGTGTTTTCTTCTGGTAATAATATACGCAGCCCTGGAAATATGAAGAGATCGCGGTCCCTCTCCTTCAGCTGGCCCTTACCTGGGAAGCCCCATCCAGAGAGACTTCGCATGTGCATGCACTTCACATCTTGGGCCACAGAATCAAAGGCCCGACCCTCACCCTTGCCCCCTGTTGGCACGAAAGTCCCCCGCCGAGCCCTCCACCTCGCGCCCGAGACGGGCCATTTGGTGGTCCAGACTGCCACCTTCTCCGACAGCTGCAGGTCGAGGGGGTCGACCTCTGGCCGTCATCTGGGACGGGGATTTGGGCTCCCTCCTCTGCTGGCGCCCCACCTCCTGGGCCAGTTGCCCCACCCGCGGGTGGTGGAGCCGCTGGCGCCTTTCTCTTCCCCATCCCCCTCTCGACCACGGCTGCGAGCTGCTCCTTGTGATGGCAGGCCTTCGCCTGCAGGGCTCCGTATGAAGCCTGAACTGCCTCGGGAAGTGCCCTCTGGCGCATCTTCTTGGCCCCGTCGATTGTCTGGCGATCTTCTTCCAGCACCTCAGGCCCGCCCAACTACGATTCGAAATTGGTATCCAAATCAAATGTGCCGTCCAAGAGGTGCTGGACATCGACTGAGGCTGCCTTCTTGCCAGGCAGAGCAGCGCGGGGCAATAACTGCGTTCCCGCTGCAATCTCCTCCGACGCGTCGAGCTGCACCTCCTCCGCGGCATCGCGCAAATCCTTCTCTGCCTTCTTGAGATCTCGCTTGTGACGGATCCACGCAGCCTTGGCCTTCTCAAGCTGCTTATTGGCGCGATTGACTCGAGCCGACGCCTGCTGCAGACCCTGCCCTGGCTGGAAGGGTGGCTCGGGGGCTGGCTCGCCCACTGCCTGCAGGAGCCCCTGAGCTGCGCCCCGGGCTTTGGCAATCAGGAGGGGCACCAACTTCCGAACCTGTGCCCCTGGCGAGAGCTTGGGAGCTGACTGATCTCCCCCATCGCGCTGGGAAGAATGAGTCGGCACCATATCATCTTCACTGAATGCACAGCCACGCTCGCATGCCAAATTCTTCGACGTGAGGCGATCCTGGAAGAGCTCCTTGCCGCAGGCGCTGCGCTCCAACGTGGGCCGCCCTCTGCGACTGCCCCGCCACCCTGGCGCACCCGCGCAGTGATCGCGCTGGTTCGGCAGTTGCCCCTTCGACAGCGGTGGGCACTCATGCCGCAAGTCGACATTTTTACCTTTGCCTGCCCTTTTGGCTTTTCCACCCTGCACCCGCGGACTGCGCGCGAACATTTTGCGCCGCGGCGCGCGGCGCTGAGCGACCATCTGCGGACTGCGGGCGCGAGAGAAAGATGGGGGCTGGCCCCGCAATACCTCGTCAGAGACCGAATGCTGCTTGGGCCGCGCGCGCCAGCGAGGCGCCCCCAATGCCGCGATGCACCCGCCCGCTGTCGACGCTCGGGCCACGCTGCGGACTTGAGCCAAAATGGCCGCGGATCCGCGCGCGGGAGACGCAAGGGGAGCCCGCGTCGATGACCTTCGCATCGGCCGGCAGCTGCCCCCTGCGCGGGCCATGCGGGTCGGCAGCGTTGAGGGCGATGTCCCCCCTGCAGTAGGTCCCTATCTTCCTGGCGGCGAAACGCGGCGCCACCTCCGTCGACAGATGCGCCAGCTTGCGGCCGTCGTGCTCGGCGACGAGGTCGGCGGTGAACCTGACGTCGATCCCGCGCTCGTTTGCCAGGGCGGCGGAGAAGGCCTGCAGCGCGCGATGCATAATGCCCGCGCCCGCGCATGGACTCCAGGTCGAGATCCAATCGCCCCCGAGCGCCGCGGGCAGGTTGCTCGCCGCGAGCAGGAAGGCCGATCCATCGACCCGTCGCAGCTGGCCCAGGAACTCGGCCACAAGGAACTGCAGCCTGTTCTCTGGGGCCCATGAGGCCCGGGGGCGCAGCCGACAAGGCGTCTCGAATGCGCCCCCCGCCTCGGCCTGGTCGCCCGTCTCGACGACGAGGCCCCCCATGCAGGGGCCAGAACGGGAACCCCACACTAGGATGTTTGGCAAAACTGATGGATCTCCCCGATTCCAGAACTGGCGCGGGCTTCCACTTGCGGTTCCCTTGCTCCTGCCCTTGCCTCTTTGCTTGCCCTTTCTCTCTCCCTCTCTTCACCGCCGCTTGGCGGCTCAAGCCTTTTCAAGGCCAAGCTGGGGGTCGGCCTCAGGTGGCCTAAGGCCGGGCCCCGGGACCGGGGCCGGAAGACCTTCGGGGCCGGGACCAGGACCGAAGGGGGGCGCCCGCGGCCGGATGGGGCCGCGCCTGGCGCCGCGCGGCTGGGGGCGGCAGCGCTGCTGCCCGAGGGCGCGCAGCTGCGCAGCGGCGGAGAGCCCGGGTGCCGAGCGGCGCCGGCTCACTCTAGCCGCGGAGCACCCGGGGGCGGAGGGGCGGCAGCCGTGGCACGGGCGCTGCCCGCCGCCGCCGAGCGGGCGGCCGGGCGCACATCAGCGCCGGCGCCCGCTCAGGCCCAGGCGAGGGCGGCGAAGCGCGCGCGCGCGCTGGGGCCCGCCTGGAGGAGCTGCCCCGGGGCCCCGGCGCCGCCGCTCGTCGGCAGGCGCCCGGGTTGGGCCGCAGCTCCATTCGTCATCCTCATGGAGATGGTGGGGGTGGCCAACGCCGAGCTCGTGCACGGGCAGGCGGCCCCCGACCTCGAGGTCTACTATGACGACGAGGCGAGCGTGGACATGAATGGGTTCTGGCTCGACGGGCCCATGGACTCCTCCGCGCAAGTGGACGCGCTGCCGGTCGGGGTTCACTCCACCAGCGGGCGTGCCGCCCCGGCAGGGAGCGGTGGAGGGGGGCCGCCGCGCGCGCGCTCTGCGCCGCCGGCCGACCCACCCCCCCAGGGCCCGGCCCACGCCCCCCCCGACCCCTCCGACGGGGACCCATCGTCCTGGATCAGGGGTTGGGGTCTTTTCGGCATCAGCTGGAAAGACATTGGCAACCGCACGCGCTGGTTTGCCGAGGGGATGGGTGGAGGTACCTTCCGGGCTGTGGGAATTTCAGGTCGGCCTTCTCGACCCGCGAGGCAGGAGGTTGGTTGAGCTCCGACGGCGGCTGGGTGCTGTACATGGCCGACCAGGTGGGCCTCTACCTGTTCGGCTCCGCGTGGCCGTTGATCGCCGGGCTCGTGGCGATCCTCTCCGGCACTGGCGTGGTCGCACTTCTGGCCCACAGCCTGAGGACACTCTTCGCACCCTGCAGCTGGGCAGCCTGGACATGCGGCCTGGTGCTGGCGTGCTGCCCCTGCCCGAGGCGCGAGACGCCTGGCGAGGCTAAGCTTGACAAGCTGGTCCCGCCGGCGGCGCCGCCCCTCACCGACGCGGCGTGGCACGGCCCAGCCGCAGGTGCAGATCCGACGACCGACTGGTACCGCAAGAGCATCAAGGAGGGCAGGGGTTCCAAGCGCGGCCAGAACGACCTCGTGATCAGGGTCGACTACCGGGTCGCGCGACTCAAGCTCAACATGAAGTCCCCGGAGCGCATCAGTCGCCAGGGATTGTGGGTTGAGTATGATTCTGTGAAGGGCGCTAGCGACAAGGGCTTCAGGCGCGAGCTAGAGCATCGCGATCCGCGCTGGCTCCACCTGTGTCGCTCCACCAGCTGTGCCGGATGCAAGGGGCGCGAGAACGAGCTGCGCTGCAAGGAGTATGCCGCCCTTGACAACGAAGCTATCGCGGACCTCGGCGACTATTCAAAGTTCACGCCTTGCCGGATCTTCGTCTGGCTCTGCAGGTGGTTGGGCCTCGCCTACAAGCTGCTGCTGTACGTCCTCCCATGGCTTTCGTGTTGCGGGGCGTGTATCTGCCGCCGGCGCCGCCGCCGTCACAGGACTGGCGACGCGGAGCCTGGCGTGCAGGGATCTGTGGCAAGGTTGCTTGACCAGGAGTCCGAGTCCGAGGTAGACGCCGAGGACAACCCCTGCGAGGCGGTGAAGGTAGGGCTCATGATCAAGGGCAAGATGCGCCCGCTGGCGCCCGAGGGATGTCGAGCCGCCGCACGCGGCGATCCGACCGTGCTGTTGGTGGAGGATGGCCGGGCTTCGGACCTCGCACTTCCCAGCGAGGGGAACGCGACAGCCTGCCTTTGCGAGCGTCACAGGCAGATCTACACGGTCCTGCGCTATGGCGAGAAGTGCTCCCAGGTGACGTGCTTCCGCGAGGCGGTGGGCATGGCCTCGGGGGCCCCACTCTGCCTGCAGCACCTCGGAGGCGATGCCGCCAAAGCGCTCCACGACAACCCCACGGGAGTCGGATTCCTCGCGGGTCTGCGACGTCGAGCCCGGCGGAGCCCTGCTCCGCGGAGCCGCACACCTGAGCGTGCCGCCCCGGCACCAGCCCGGAGTCGCACACCAGAGCGCTCCACTCCGGCGGCCTCTGCTCCAGAGGCGCCCACCAGCCCAGGCGACCCCGTCCCTGCGCCGGCTGGGCCACCGAGCGTGCGCTTCGAGGCGCCGCCGGTTCCAGTGTTCCCCAAGCCGCCCACGCCGCCGCCCATGCCCCTCGGGCGATACTTCATCGTTCGGGCGAGGGTACAGTGGCCAGAAGGAGCGCAGTGGATGATTTTCAGAGGGAGGGCGGCCGACGCCGCCGCAGTCAGCGCCGTGGCTGACTACCTCGACGGCGCGATGGCTCTCGAGGTGGAGGACCCGACTGGCGCAACCATCCGCTTTCTCGTGAAGCCTGACGGCGCCATCCGTGCGCCTGCACCAGGACCCTCAGGGCGTCTGCCAGCGGGGTTCATCGAGGAGATGCTCCACCACGCGCCCCTGGGCTGTGAGGAGCTCGGCATCAGCGTCTCGGCGACCAACGTACCCGAGAAAGTCTGGCATAAACTGGCGGCGTGGCACGGGCTCCCCGTGGGCGGGCGAGCCGGGCCGCTCAGCGAGTTAGAATGAAAGTGATGGGAGCCTTCTTTCAAACGCAGAGTGGGCAAAGGTGCGCAAAAGTGCGCAAATGTGCCCTGCAAGAGCCGACAAAGATTTACTCACTTCATCATTCTCCGACCTCCTCCTCCTCCTCCTCCTCTTCCTCCCCCTCCTCCTCCTCCTCCTCCTCCTCCTCCTCATCCCCCCCCTCCTCCTCCTCCTCCCCCCTCAACCCACTGCCTAGCGCCAGCCCCCCCTCATCCACCCTGTCGCCCTCGAGGGCCAAGGCCGCCAGGGTCGGCGGCGGCGGCCGCAAGGCCTTTGCTAAGAAGAGCAGGCTGCGGAGAGAAGGGCGACGTCATGGACGGGGGCGCCGCCGCAGCACGCTGCCGCCCTGACGGCGGCGAACCTCGCTTCGAGCGCCGACGAGGGGGAAGGAGTAGGAGGAGGAGGAGGAGGAGCGAGAAGGAGGAGGATGGGGGGGGAGGAGGAGGAGGGGGGGGAGGAGGAGGAGGAGGAGGAGGAGGAGGAGGAGGAGGAGGAGGAGGAGGAGAGGAGGAGGAGGAGGAGGAGGAGGAGGAGGAGGAGGAGGAGGAGGCGGAGGAGGGAGGGGAAGGAGGAGGAGGAGGAGGAGGAGGGGGAGGGGGAGGAGGAGGGGGAAGGAGAGGAGGGGGAGGAGGAGAAGGAGGAGAAGGAGGAGGAGGGGGAGGATGGAGGATGAGGAGGATGGGGAGGAGGAGGAGGCGGGGGGGGAGACGGAGGAGGAGGAGGAGGAGGTAGAGGACGAGGAAGCAGAAACATTCTAGATGGCCTCTTGACCACCTTTGGGCTGTCTTCGGCCTTCTCGGGTTCCACCTCTCCTCCTGCTGCCTGCTCCTCCTGCTGCCTGCTCCTGCCTCCCTCCTCCTGCTGCCTGCTCCTGCCTCCTCTGTGCTGCCTCCCCCTGCTGCCCTCTCCTGCTGCCTCCTCCTGCTGCCTCCTCCCGCTGCCTCTCCTGCCCCCCCCTGCTCTCCCTCGCCGCTGGCGTCCTGCAACTCGGAAGGTCGTTCCGCAACGCTCAGGCTCAAGTTGTCATTGCGTGGCGCATCCAGCGCGCCTTGCGCAATCGTAAGTGGCATGGCCGCGATCGATGTCGGCGACGTGGCGAAGGCTCTGGACCTCCAGCCACCAGAGCGAGCGCAAAAGCAAGCTCGCGACCGGCTGAAGGATTGGCGTCGTGCAGTTGGTTCGTGCCTCCACGTGGGCCCCGACATGATCAACTTGCACTGCGCGTTGCACCACGCGTGCTCCCAGCTGCCGAAGAAGAAACATGCGACGGCAGACGCGATGCAAAGGTGGCAGGTCAAGCTGGAGAGGCGGGCGAAGATTTCGGAGACAGTGAACAAGACATATTGGGTCGTGCCGAAGACAGAGTTCGCAACGCGGGAGCAAAAGGGACCGCTGGCCCGTTTCGGCGTCGATTCTTCGCAGTTGGGCCATGGCAAGAAGTTGAGCGTGGAGTGATGGTGTTTCTCGCATGTTGCAGTCTTTGGATTGCGACGCGGATCTTAGCGTCGACGCCGCGGTGCCCCGGATTCTCCTGACAACGTGGCATTTGTTTCTGCGTTTCGATGTGTTCTTCAGTTCCCCATTGTGCTCTGTGGAAACTGACGCGTCGGAGGAACCCCCTATTGCATCCGAAGACAATCGAAGAGCTTCTGCTCGCAACGCCCGACGATGCCCTGGAAACGGTCACAGCCTTCCGCTGCGGCAACGGGCGGCTTCCATGGGGTCATTCGCCGACGCTTATGATTGCATCGCGTCTCCCGCGGCGCAGGAGGAGTTGGAGCTCATATTCGACAAGTCCGAGGCCACCAGCTTGGGCGTCGAGCGGGGGCACTGGCTGACCAAGCGCGCAGAGGGCCGCAAGGGGTTCAGGATCACCAGCTTGGCCCGCGCCTCCATGAACGACATCCTCCGAGCGTGCAGGTCGCAGCACGGCGCGGCCATGTCGAACGCCACCTCAGCGCAGAAGACGCGCGCCAAGTTGGCGACAATTCCGGCATAGAGCTTGGCTGTCCAGGGGAGAAAAGATCTCATGCCGCGCCCCAGAGGCAGGCCGCACTGGGAGAGCGAGACGCCACTGACCCAACAACGCGCGCTCACGCATGAAGGCGATCTACCAGCACTTCGCGCGCACTTCGAGGAGCGCAGGGAGGAACTGACGGCAAAGGCGAAGTCGATGCGAGATGTGGCCAAGCGCAGTAAGCAACAAGAGGGGTGCATATATCCCCAAACGAACCCCGAATGGCTTGCCTGGATGGACCAGAACGACGAGAAGTGGAAAGACCTCCCCAAGTTGTCGACAGCGGCTCGCCGACCTCTCTCGGAACGGCTTCGCCCCGCGGCCCCGCTACCAGCCGCCGATCGCTTGCAGGCAGTCAGGCCTGTCGCGCCAGATATCCAATGGGTGAAAAAGCTGGCGCATGCGAAACGCGGCTTTTTCATGCTGAAGCCCCCAGCAGGTCGGCTCGAGATCTCCAGCTGCAAGATCGGGCAACTAGCGTGGGCCACGCCGCTCGAAGCGGACCCGTCTACTGACCTTGGCGGCCGATTCAGCCGCTACCGCGGCGCGCCCGCCGCCCCCGCCCTCGTCTTCGCCTGGGGCAACTCGCTGTTGGCGCCCCTCTTTGGACTACTTGCTGGCTCGCTGGGCTTCCTTTTGAAAAGTGCCGTTCCGCTCGGTTTTATGTATATATATATATATATATATATAATTTCCAAACTGGCCCTGCCATGCATTGCCGACAATTTAGGGCCAGAGCCCGAAATTTACCAACGAAAACGATATTTCGCAACGGTAGCCCGCGTCTAGGCCCAAACGGGGGCCTGCGGCAAGGTTTTTGCCGCTTTGCTCCCCCGTGGCGCCTCGGCGCTGCCCGAATCGGTGGATTGTCAGTGACGCCCGCGCCCCTTTGAAACAAGTGCCCCGCCCCGCCGCGGAGTTGAAAAAGGCAGCGGAGTTTGAAAACACCCGCGTCGCCAAGCTGCGGGCGCGCTGCAGCCTGGCGCCCCCTCTGATCCAGGCGAGGGCGGTTGGCCTCTCAGGCGTCCAGATCCCGCCGAGGGCCGCTGGCGCGGACGGGGGCCCCGAGGGCCCGCCGACGGCTGCCGGCGATTCGGAGGGCGCGCGCGCGGACGAGGGCCACGAGGACGCAGCTGCTGATGTGGAGGCCATCGATACTGATGCATCAGATGTGGGCGTTCGTTTTTCCGATGTAGCTTCCGACATGGACGACGCGTTAGACGAGGATGGGCCTGAGGTTGACCTCGCGGGCGAGGATTGCCCGCCCGGGCTTGCGCCAGAACCCGACGACGTTCCTGACATCGTCGACCGTGCACCTCGCGGAACCCACACTGCATGGAAGAACGCCTTCTTTACTCTCACCAGGAACATGGGGTGGCCAAATGCAAAGATGACCCTCCTGGACAAATTGGCCACTGGGCATTTGGGCGGCAAGGACAAGTCTAAAACGCTCACAATTGCGCAATTCGATGGGCCAGAGCACCCCAAACATGCGGCGCCAGAGATGACGTACCTCGCACTGCGGGCCTGGATGGTGACCATTTTGGGACGCACCCAAAGCTCCTTTAGAATGCTACTGTCTGGGCTAGCTGGTTCCAGAAATCCCTGGCCATTCCGCCCAGGGCGGGCAGGGCGGCATGACCGGGGCGCGAGGGGGGGGGCGGGGGGAGGGGGCGAGGGGGGGGTAGGCCAGCGAAAGGAAGGGGGGAATGGCACTAGGATACCCCCTGTCCCCCCGCCCACCCCCGCCCCCCCCCCCCCCGCCCCACCCCCCCCGCGTCCACCCCTACCCCCCCCCCCCCCCGCCCCACCCCGCCTGCCGCCCCCCCCCCCCCCCCCCGCCTTTTGAAAAGATCTCAATTGAATCGCGCGAGCGTGCCCGCCTGGCTGGATCAGCGTCGAGCGCGGCGCCAGTGGCGCGACGACGAGATCGCCGCGCTGCGGAGGCCCCGAGTCCTTGCGGTCCCCATCCCCCAGCTTTGCCATTTCCTCCTTTACGTTGCCCCGCCGTTTTGCGCGCTCTTGCTCCTGCAAGGGGCGCGAAGGCGGTGGATTTGGAGCGCTACCCGACTGCCAGAGAGAAGATCGCGGAGTGGTGCCCCGCCGCTCTCGCTTGAGGATGCGCGCTTGCGCGGCCCCTTCCCCCGCTCGCATCTCCCGCTTGAAACGGGGGCGAGGGGGGGGAATAGGAAGAGAAAAAGGAAGAGGAGGAGAAGGAGGAGAGGGATGCGAATCTAAGAGGACGAGAGGGGCCCCGCTCAGGACGGCGCTCCGTCGTCGGCGCCTTCTGCGCGCAGGCGCCCCCCATCCTCGCCCCTGCTGCCGCCGCCCCTGCCGCCGCCGGGTGACTGAAGGAGGAACCGGAGAGAGAGGGGAAGGAGGAGGAGGGAAGGGGAGGAGGAGGAGGGGGAGGAAGAGAAGGAGGAGGCGGAAGAGGAGGAGGAAAGCGAGGTGGAGGAGGATGGGGGCGGGGTGAGGGCGGAGGAGAAGAAGGAGAAGGAGGAGGAGGAGGAAGAGGAAGAGGAAGGGGGGGAGGGAGGGGGGGGGGGGGGAGGGAGGAGGAGGAGGAGGGACGAGGAGAGGAGGAGGAGGAGGACGAGGAGGAAGAGGAAGAGGAGGAGGAGGAGGACGAGGAGGAGGTGGGGGAGGATCGGCGCGTGCATAGCGGCATCGGTGCCTGGGAGTTCCCCCAGTGGCCAAGATGTCGCCCCAGGAAGGGAGCACGCGGGCCATGGCCCAGGCAGAAGCGCAGCGTCCTGGCTTGCCCATGGGCTCACCAAAGAATGTTCTAAGAACCTCGTGTGGTTTGTAAGAACTTGTCTTGGAGCATGAGGCTGTCTTGTTTGATTCAGCGACCTTCTTTTCTAAGCACATTGTTTGGGTTATTTAGCATGTTTTGGCATTTGGTGGTGGGCCTATAAGCATAAGAATGTCGGGACGGGTGCCCCCTGCTCAGATGACCCAG